TATCTAAGAAACACGTTTGGCACAACATTAAGGCAAGTAAAACTATCTAAGTGATATTCAGTTCCAAACTAATTAGTCAGGTAAAATTATCTAAGCGACATCAAGTCGGTACCGTTTTTTTTATGTAAAATTATCTATGTTCTTTTTTTTATACCCATTTACCTATTTCGTAACAAGCAAAAATGTCTAAACACAAATGATGTCAAATACATTTTTAGGACTAATTTTTTTTTAACCTGCTTTAAATCCCCCGGGGTTTCGGCTGTCCTCCACCCTAGGGGTGACACCTAGGACTAGTTTAAGACATTGGCCGCCACGTGACCCTTATGGGGATCATAGTCTCTTATAGTCTGGTGCATGTGACCCCTATGGGGATCACACTGCCATTTGAACTTGGGTACATGTGATCCCTATGGGGGCCATACTTAATTCTGTACATGTGGCTCGTATTGGGATCACGTTTCAATGTATTTCTTTTGGAGAAAATATTGCCGTGGTACCAGGCTACACCTTGGTCTACTTGGTTTTCTGATAGCATGTGTATTAAGGATACAATGATCTACATCATTTTGGAAGGAAAATATGAATAATTTAGTCAAGATAATGCAGTTAATTGTTTTTTATTATGGACAAAATAAAGAATCGTACAATTTACAAAAAAAAAAAACTATAAAAATCGAACTAACAAAACTAACAATACAATGCTTATAATAAAACTAAACACTTCTTAGCACGTTCAATTCATGCATGTGACCTATTTTAAGGATGTTTTTCATTGAAACAAGAAAGGCAGAAGAATTTGTCGAAAAACGTGAAACGTAAGCGCTCTTACTTTACTATGGGCCAAAACAAAAATGTTCTTTTGTACTTACGCATAATGCCATCTTCTTAAATATTGATAGTAGCTGTTCCGTTGCTTTGGCACTAAATGAGAACACCTTAGACATACTTTTGGCTATCTTAACTCGATTTCGCCAAATTTGTAGTTACGTCACTATGGCTCTAAGCCGTCGCATTACATGACGACCTTGTATTTCAAAATGTTTTTGAAAAAAAAATATTTTTTTGAACATAATATAAATGTAACCCAAACATCAAAATTGGCGAATCAAACGAAAAACGGTTGAGTATCAGCCAACAAAATCGTCATCTGAATAGTCAGAATCCGATTCATTTAAATCGATAATTACTGGAGCTATGGGGTTTATGTCAATTCTTTTGGCAGTCTCCCAATACTCATTAATAAGTTTCTCCGCATGTTTAACATAGTTTCTCCATTTTTCAGGTGTAACCTAAAATTAGAGCTAAGTTATTACCTAAGAATTAAAAAAATATATATTAATTTACCTGTTGTAAAGATTGTTTCCAAAGATTTAAATTTAAATTAAAGAAGATTTAAATCATAATACCTTTTGCAGTCAGACCAAACGTTCTCTATCGGAATAAATTGACAATTGTATGGAGGGAGTCTCAAGACCCGATGGCCATATTGAAGGGCTAGTCTATCTAATCTGTAAAACAAAATACATAAAAATGCCATTTAATAAATAAATTCTAATACGTACTTAAATATTTTATCTGGTAAATGCTTCTTTACAATAGCCACTAACTCAAACTTCATCATAGATAATATAATTTCGAAAATTGTTATCAAGAAAATTTATTTAAAATTGTAAACATATCTAACAAACATTTAACTCATTTGTTATCAAAAATTTGATAACCTTTTAGTTTCCCAACTTGACTGTTGCAGCATTTTGTTGATGTTTTAAAATAATTCGTACACATAACAACGTTATTTATTTTACAATCTCACATGAATAGCAATTATAACAATAAGTTGTTAAAAATATTTGCAAAAATATTAAGTAATAGATTTTCTTAGATCAAACCGCCATTGCCTCAACGTACCCACCTTCTCTTTCAATACAAGTTTCCGTTCTACGACAAAATTCTCTTAACACATTTCGAATCATGTTGGGAGTTATAGTCTGAATGGTTTCCGTAATAACCCTTTCCAAATGTTGGACGTTTGTAAACGGCCCTTGTTTGTATACATTCTCTTTCAAGTAACCCCAAAAGAAATAATCTAACGGGGTTAAATCTGGCGACCTAGCTGGCCAAAAAGTCTCTGAATATCTGTGGATTACTCTTCCGTTAAACAAATGATCCAGATACTGCCTTACTTCCAATGTACTATGACATGTAGCGCCGTCCTGCTGGTACCATATTTGTTGCCGTTCATGTAGTGATAGGTCATCAATAAAATCACACACGTGAGTTTGTAAGAAATTTAGATAATTCTGAGAGGTCATGGATTGTCGAAAGAAAAATGGCCCAATTATTTTATCTTTGTAAATGCCACACCAAACATTTGTTTTAAATGAATATTGATCACGAGTCCTAATTGTGAAGTTAGGATTGTTGTCACTCCACCATCGACAATTTTGAGAACTCACCGTTCCATTTGAATTAAATGTAGCTTCGTCTGAAAACATTATTTTTCTAACAAAAAAAGGATCGTCTTCAATTTTTTCTTGAATAAGAAAACAAAATTCTATTCTCTTATCGTAGTCTCTAGGTTTCAATGTATGAATAAATTTAGGCTTATATGGTTTAAACTGATTTTCCTTCAAAATTTTTGCAATTGTACTTTTACCTGCATTTTGCAACAAAAATTCCCCTTTTTCGTAGAGAATATTTAGGATCTTGCACTGTAGATAACATTACATCTAATTTCGTCGCCTCATTTGCAACGCGTTTTTCGCGATAACAATTTTCGAATTTATAAAAAGTTGAGGTACTTTGCTCTTGGTAAAATTCATATTTTTGAACATACCTCGTATACGACTGAAAAATTTTAATATCTGATGGTTGTATTTTAGTTTTTACACATGCAGAACTTTTTATGAAGAATAACTTTTTTTCGTAAAACTAATATTAAGAAAGTTTCCCATATGGTGCGAACTTAAGTGGACACACTGTATATATATATATATATATATATATATATATATATATATATATATATATATATATATATACTTAGACTAACTTACCTTTACTAAACATTCCGTATATACGAGTCCTAATGGTATGTTGGTATTTATTTAAAATCAAGTTGGGTTCACAACTAGTGGCTACTGATTCGCTTACGTTATTGGGATAATCAGAATCTTTTTGTATTCCTTCATTTGCTAATCGCCTTATGGCTGGCAAAGAAATTTCTAACGCCTCAGCAACACGCTGAAATAAACAGTAAATAAAAAAATTTTATTTCCAAGGTAATTTTCAACTTACTTCACGAACAGCAGAAATTGGTAATAATGTTTGTCCAGCTTCCTTTTCCAATTGAAAATATTTAAGTAATTTTAATATTAGAACTTGTTTTTTTCCGTATATCTTGTCGTCTTGTACAAATACAAATAAAACCACAATCACATTACTATGTAAAACAAAATACAAAATAAAATTATACAATACAAATCCCAAAGAATATAAATATATTATATAGCGTCTATAAACTTTGCAAATACTGACCTGAACGATAGCCGTCACTTGCGGTTGGAACAATTCGAAAGAATAGCCAGCATGGACGAAGTTTTACGTCAACTGTCAGTAATAGGCGTATTTGATTGGCTAGAGAAAGCGCGCATCTAAATATCAACGAATCAAACGTGGGTTAGGAAAGAACCGCTTATGTATGTAAGCTTATTCTAACGCTGCAATATAGTTCTGTTTAATCACCGAACTACCGCTTTCTCCGTCACTTCCAACTTAACGCATTAGAAAGAAATCGAAAAACTGTGACGCACTGAAAAGTACCTCTGGGATGTTCTGTACCAAGTTTTCACTAAAAATCGTTGCATTCTTAAACAGGGGACGACTTATTCTAGCTTCAGCTCCGTAACGACCCTCCCACAAAGTAAGCAACTTTATATCAACGCGCTTGCGAACTGACTCGATAGTCTTCCCGAACACGGCATTGTTCATGAGCTTAAAAAGGTCCTTTTCAAATTCATTTTTCGCTGCCTTCCGGAGATTTGTATTAAGATCGATATATGGCTTAAGCCAAGCGCTCTGTTTGAATTTCAATACTCTATGTATCTTTTTCAAAATCAATCCATTTTCAAGCGCCTGTTTTAGTGCTCTATAATGTATTACATATCTTTCTTTATCATGTAGGGTGGCCATTAATTTAGTCTGCTCTCGTGGACGCTTAGGAGGAAGCATAGTCTTAGAATTTAAAGACTCAGGACAAAACGGGATATCTTTATGACGATCATGAAGATGTTGAGGGTACTCCAGATCAACTTTGAGAATGTACCCTTCAGAAGCATCGTTAGCAATGGAAAGGACGTCAATATTGGTATTGACCCACTCGAAACCTCCATACGGAAGATATTGAGACATTGCCCAACCATACTGATTATTAACGTCAAAGTACATAAGAAGCGATGGAAATTCTCCTCAATAAACAAAGTATATTGGGACTTGAGATTAGGAAACTCGGGGAGGTAAGAAGCTAATTTATCAAAAGACGAAATAAATCGAAAACTATCGATAAAACGGAATTTAAAAGAAATGTATTTTTTCTTAGTAATAGGAAGAAGATCTACGGGACCTTTGATGTGTGTAGCAATATCGTTAATAATAAAATATGCGTCATATCCGGAGAGATTATGAAATATTATTGGAATTGTATGAGCATCTTTGTAATTAATGTTACACCCTTCGTGAGCTGCGCCGCGATAATTATTGCCAGGAATAACGTAATCATGGTCTCGAACTTTCTTATCTTCAGGAGAGAAGCGTTGCTCGCAGATATGACAATGAGTGGCTGCATGAAAATCACTCTCTTGCTGAGTTGTCATATTTATATCATATGGACACAAAAACACTGTAGAAACATCCTCTGATTAAGTTCATCTGCAAACCACAACATACAATCTTTTCCTCTATACGATTTGTAAAAAGAGAGCGCATTATCATATGAGCATTTAAAGAAGTACCCAACTGCTAGAGGAATATGTTCTTTGAGGTTTTTTAGGATCTCCTGTACGTTTCAAAGCACTCTCGAGATCTGCGTACACGGCGAAGGGAGCTTTAATCTTATTCCGGAAATTCTTAAATTTCAACATTTTATTGCTTTCCTCGGTCATTTTAATGGCTGTTTCGTTAATTCTTACGCAATCCTTGGTGTGAGCTTCTAGCTGAATAGCCGATGAAAACGGTTGTAAACACCTATCACAGATATAATCTGATTGGCCTTTCTTTGCAGCATGCCTTATGAACATTTAATTTTTCATCAGTTCTAAAATAGCGAAGACAAGCATCACAGAAATGTTTTTTATGATTATTTTTTGCTAAGCTGCTTAGAAAGTAGGCGGGATAGGCTTTTTATCCAAACGTAATGGTATCTAATAATACCTTCTACATCATCATATCTATCTTGAACGAGACGCAGATTCATATGTTTATCCTTCTTGTTTTTAGTTAAATAAGTTGGGAGGGTTGTGAAAATCCTTTTTTCTTTTTTCAAAATATAAACGTTTACAGAAATACCATTTTGTTTTTCAAAATTAGGAATCTGCCTCATCGTCATTGGCCACTGTATTCCCTTCAACTTCAGCACATGCGAGTAGTGCGGATATTTTTACACTTTTTGAGGATCTTTATCCACAGGATTCAACGCTGATATGACAGACCACGCAAAGTATGTCTCATCATCATTTTTGACGATAACGCATGCTTTCTTTCTCTTTATTTGAGGAGGAAGTTCAATGTATGAGGAACCAAGTTGCGGCGTATATTTGTTTATATTTACCCCCAGGTTAACAACTGCCTTTAATGCCCAGCCACTATCTCTCTCTTGGAATTCCTCTAGCTTTTTGCTGAGGGGTTCAGACACATGGTTTTCAAACCATTCGTCAAGATTTGTGTCCTTATATACTGGCGAATTGTTCTTCTATAAAATCTTTATTGCTCTGTAAAAAAATACACAACATATAAAAAACAAATATTAAAAATATATAAACAAAAGTACCTTTTAAAAGCCAGACCAGCACGCAGGCCTGGCCCACCTTTATCAGAACATGTTGGCCCCTGCAGGTGCCCAGCGACGTCATATCCGGCGGGTCCGGATATGACGCTGCACGGGATGTTTCACCCCTCAACACTATCAGAGGGAGGTTCTGAAACAAAAATTAAAACAGAATAAAAAACAAGATTAAAATACATATATCTAAAATTTTGTAGCGATCATATTACAAAAAACACAGGGACAACTAAGAAGAGCAGGCCTATGCATAACAGTCGTTACCTATATCAACATATAAAAATAAAACAGTAGAAACACGAGCAACTCAAAAAAAAAACATCGGAAGAAGAGCAGTCTTAGGCATAGCAGTATACGTTTCAAGTAGCACACACGTTCCCACATATGTGGGAAATTATTAGTATAATTTCCGTGTATGTGGACTGTATTATATAGGGCTGGTTCAATAAAATTAGGATATGTAATAAAAGGTATAAGGTAAGTTGGGGCAAGATCGCACGGAATTTAGATTAGTCAAAATTTACCTGACAATACAACAATAAGATAAGTTTAAAAAATTATCAAAATGTGCATGGCTTAACTTTAACTCATAAGCAAAGAGTTTGCAGGATAAAACTCAATATTTGTTAATAAGAAAGTTTATAAAAAAAATGAAATAAAAAAAATGCAGTCGTTCGAATTTGCCCCCGCGTATGGGGTAAGGTCGGACAACTTGTAAAATTATAATATAAGTATTTCAAGAACACCTACGGGGTAACATCGAATTCCGAACAAGCCCCTGGTAAATTTCTTACACACACTTCACTGTTGCGTTGGTTTTTGTCTTTGGTTTGATGTGCTTCTTTTGTTGGGGTTTTGTCATCCTGTGTTAGGCTTTTGCCTCTTCAGGATGTGGTTTTTGTCTTTTTTGGTGTTGGCTTCTGGTTTTTCTTTCTTCGTGGTCCACTGGTGGGGTTCAGCCAGGACAATCAGCGGAGAAAGGCAGTGATCGGTTCTTTTCAGAATTGATTTTTAAAATATTAGTGAATAATTAGTGATTGTTAAAATAGTATATGTACAAAATGAGATATTAATATATGTATATATACATGCATTAATATGTTATAATTAGTAAATGTGTTAAACGCGACGCGAGAGTGCAGCTGTGGCTGTATCCTCAAAATAGACAGGTATCATTTGCAAGTGGGATCGGGAAACCGCAGAAACCGATCCCCCCCTGTCTAGGCAAGCTCGAAGTGAGCAATTTAGCTAGGAATGCGACGGAAATAGAGGGGAGTTGCCTCCTGTATGTCAATGTATTCATCAGGGAGTTCGTTACTGGCAAGTTCCAGTAGAATTGCGGGGAGGTGTGGGATTTTTGGTTTAGGATGTCTGGTGAATACGTTGCCGCGGGTAGAGCAGACAGTTTTTAGGATGCGTTGAGCTCTGAGGTTTTGGCTCCGGATAGTGCGTGTAGTATAACTTCTGCTTAGAGAGTGTAGTCTCTCATTTAGGGGCTGGATATTAGATAATTGATGAATGAGGGCTGAAGGGTAGTCGTTGCGTCTACCATTCACTCTACGCAGAATCCTCCTCTCTAGACTTAACAAGTTTTCTTTGACTGATTTTGGTATTGTAGCATAAATATTGGATCTGTATTCAAAAATAGGTCTAATAAAAGTTTTATAGGTGAAAATTAATGTTCTAGAGTGCGTAGCCCCGAAATTACATCTCAAGCTATTGAGGAGACTCAATCTGCTCCTAGCCTTAGCGCAGGCTATGTTCAAATCGGCCCTCCAATTCAAAGTTCGTGTGAACTTCACACCGAGGTATTCGATCTGATCACGGAGTTGGAGTTGATCTCCCCATAGCGTGAGATAGTTTCTTTCGTTAAAGGAGGCCGCGCTTACACTGTGTCTAGGGTGTCTAAAAAGAATCATTTGAGTTTTGTTCGGATTCAGGGACACTCTCCATCTCCTGCACCAGTTTTCAACTAGTCTAAGGTGATCTTGAGCATACCTGAGAACAGAATCAACGTTCGTTGCTGTAGTTACTAGAGCAGTATCATCCGCGTAGAGTAGAGTGGTGGTTTTGTTTCGTGTAGTATTTGGGAAGTCGCTGTTGTATATTGTGTAAAGTATGGGGGCCAGTACAGAGCCTTGTGGTACTCCATCTGTTGGAGTAAAAGAATCAGAGAAATAACCACGCTCTTTTACTCTGACCAGACGTTCAGAGACGTATGATTGGATTAGTCTGACGAAAGGAATTGGTAGTCCAATGCTCAGTAGTTTCTTGATCAGTCCCACATGCCAGACTTGATCAAAGGCTTTTTGAACATCGAGAAAAATACCTAGTGCAAGTTTGCTGTCGTTCAGACTTTGAGTAATGTGTGTAACAATTTCAGTCAATGCCGTATTTGTAGAGCACCCTTCTCTAAAGCCGAATTGAAAAGAGGGAATGATATTGTGTTCGTTCGTGAAGTCAATGAGTCTTTCTTTTAGGATCCTCTCAAAGACTTTTGCTAAAACATTTGTAAGTGAAATCGGCCGGTAAGAGTTAGGATCTGTGCGGGGTTTGCCCTTTTTTAGGAGCATAATTGTATTTGCTACTTTCCATTGTGACGGGAAATAGCAGAGTTTGAGGGTGGCATTGACAATATTTGTTAAATAATGGTAGACACTCGGAGGAAATTGTTTCACGCAGCTCCTGGCAATGTTGTCAGGACCCGGTGCATTCGATTTGCCGATATGACAAAAATTTTTGAAAGTTTGTTGATCTACCGGTGCCATGATGGGATGGTCATGCGGCACCTGAGGATCGAAAGGGGCGCCGAGTTGTCTGTTTACGTCTCTTTCAGTCGCAGTCAGGAAGGCGAGGTCAAATCTAGGATTATTAGGTGAGATTAAAGTGTTTTGTAAATGGTTTTTAAAGGCTTCGGCCTTTTGTTGATGTGTGTTAATGATTTGATTGTTCACTATAAGGTGAGATGGATTGTTGGTTTTTTGTTTAGTTAGGCACTTGAATTTATGCCAGAACTTACCACCGTCGCGGAAATCAAGACTAGAGGTGGCTGCCCGCCATTGTCTGACCTGCATCTCTTTCACCTGTAGTTTGATCACCGCGGACATGCGGTTATATTCTGCTTTGATAAGAGGATTTCGAGTGCGTTGAAACTGACGTAGGAGTCGTCTCTTATGTTTGATATTATTGATTATGTATTGCGGTAGAGGTGGCTTTTTAGGGTTTATAACCTTATTAGGGACTGATATATCAATTGCTTGATTTATCAGATTTGAGATAGCCGTGATACCTAGATCGATATCATCTGTGTGTACTAAGTTGCCTAACTCTGGAATGTTATTTGACAGAAAGGCTCTGTATCGGTCCCAGTCAGCGTGCCTATAGTCTCTTATTACTTTGGGTGGTGCAGGAGGGGTGGGTGTAAATATCTGTTCCTTAACCAGCAGAGGTAAGTGATCCGACGTGATGGAATCACCCAGAAAGCATTCGTCATCCAATAGATCGATCACATCGTACGTACATACAATATGATCGACTATCGACATGCCCTGGTGACCCACAAAAGTCGGCTCACACGATGGATAGGAAGATTAATGAGCATGTCCGAGAAGTCGTTACCTGCATGATTTGTGACGGTGTCACCAAATTGAATGTGTCTGGCGTTAAAGTCGCCGAGAATAATTGCCTTATTGAGGCTAGAGATATAATCAAACAAAATCTCGGACATGTCCTGATGAGGATGTTTGTAATAAGAGACTATTGTAATTGTCGTGTTATTGTCTAGGTGGATGTCCACTGCCAGGAAGTCAACATCATTAAGGTTCAGGTGCATAGGTGTAACATGAGGGGAAAAGGGGATACCGTATTTGATAAGGAAGCCAATACCGCGAGATATTTGGCTTTTAGGACGGTGTACCGTGCAGTAACCGGGGAATGTTGGATCTGTTTTTGAAAGGGTGTCGGTGAGGGCTAGGATTTGGATATTATGATGTTGAAGAATATGTTTGATAAGGGGTCGCCTATTCCGAACACCCTGGCAGTTAACAGCACCTATTGAACTGTCCATTAGAGGGGCAGGAAGGAGATGGAAGCTCTGTTGTTATGAGCCACAAGAGTACTCTTGTGACCGAACATCAGAGTGGAGATACGGTTGGTTATATCCAGGATAAGCTGACGCCTATCTGGAAGGAGGTTAATGAGGATGAGGGAGGTGAATTCCATCACTGCCTTCATGTCTGAAGACAGTTCGTAGGGTGGATCTCTTTTATCAGTGGTTATAGGTTGGGTTTCTTGTGGGGTTTTTGGTATTTCCCTTCTGAGTGGGCATTTGACCGAATAGGCCGCATGCTCGCCACCACAGTTAGGGCATTTAGGGGCTTGTGGGGTAGGGCAGGAAGTGGATTTGTGGTCTTGACCACAAGTAGGGCACCTATACTGTTTTTGCGGGCACTCCGCAATGGTATGCCCGTTTGAACTGCATTTGGCGCAGTACTTGGGTACGGGAGGAACGGGGTTGGAGTTGAAGCAGGGCGTGATATTCCGGTTGCCGAAACTCGTTCGACTGGCGCATGACGTAGGCAACAGAGTCAAGCATAAACTCGTATATGGTTCCGTAATACGAATGCGAATGATATTTGTGATTTTTATAGTTTAGAAGAAAATTAAACTATAAAAATGACTTAGTTTTATTTATTAGTATATTATTATTAGTATTTGTATTCATATAATCAATAATAAATAAAATTATTATATTTCGTTAGTTGCCAAAAATTGATTATGGGGCCTACACATTAGAAAATATTTAATATTTACCAAAGGGAAGAAAAATCCCAAAATTGAAACCATAATTTGATGGGTTATTAAAAAATAAAAATTTTTACTTTTTAACTAATGTGAAAAATATTCATATAATCAATAATAAATAAAATTATTATATTTCGTTAGTTCTCAAAAATCGATTATTTTGCCTACACATTAGAAAATATTTTTTAATATTTACAAAGGGGAAGAGAAACCCCAAAAATTGGAACCATAATTTGATGGGTTATTAAAAAAAACAAAATTTTTGGAAAAACAAAGTTTGGAAAAGACAAAAATAAGTTGTAAAATTTTCATGTCATGCAATTTAAATCAAAC